AACCCTCATCTCCACTTACTCATCCAATGGCTGATATTTTGGGCGCATGGATACACCACGCCCATTGTAGAATTTTCCTCAAGTCTAAATCACAAGTCTTTGATCTCATCCATTAATTTCCCAATGTTCATTGATTTATTACCTATCAGTTGGAGCACGCGTTACATGAATAAGAGTCAGTTGTACATTGTATAGGTTTTTGCTTCTTCTTTTTAGAAAATTTGGTATAGTGCACTTCTGATGACATAAGTGAAATTGGACCTATATCTAAGAGCTCCTTTTTCCTTTTTGTAAATTATAACTAGAGAGTTCTCCTCATTACAGGTTACAAGACACCACCTTGGATTCTTATTTTTTGTTGGACCCACCCTCAGCTCTTAAGTAAAAAAAAAAAAAACCTAAACTTAGTATAACATTAAGAAACAAAAAAATTAAAATTAAAATAACAAGGTGATAAGAAGCAAAACCCTTCAAAGAACGAACAATGGGGAAACAAAAAAAAACATGCATACAATTGACAAAAATCAATTTTGTTGCTGTTGAGAATTAAAGTAGTGGAATATTAATTTAAATATTGTGATCATCATTCGTTTCATCCATGCCATATCATAATTAATTTGGTTTCGGTAATTGTTATTCCTGCATCTTACTTTTTAGCTCGTGCATTCTGTAAGTTATGATGGAACAATTAGAGTACTTAATTTAATTACCTCCATAATAAAGAGATTCGAATCCAAAGTATTAGGAATTTTCTTTAGCAAGTGATTTGTAGTCTCATTGTGATTGACGTGTGATTTCCGTAACATTAATTATGCATTGTATATAGTTTTGTCTTGTATGAATGTGTGGCACTGTTTTAGCTAAACCGTGTTTTTCTTTGTAAGGGCTTTCTTCCTTTTTTTCATATATATATGATGCAAGCTAGCATATATCAATATATACTTGCAGTGTTTTTGCATGTGCATGTGCTTTTGATCAATTAACATGAAGGGCGACGGAAGGTGCTTGAAACTCTTTCTTGCACTTTTGATCCTTTTCCTACAAAACGTAAAAGGAGGAGAAGTTGGCCACAACCACAGCCACAGCCACAGCCTCAAAGATGCTAAAGTGACAGTGAGGTGCATAGCGAGGGAAAGGCAAGCACTACTTGCATTCAAACGTGGCCTGGTGGATGAGTTCAATCAACTCTCAACTTGGGGTTCAGAAGCCCAAAAACAAGATTGTTGCAGATGGGAAGGAGTCTATTGTAGCAACCAAACTGGCCATGTGATTCAACTTGATCTTGGATATTCTTTCCCTGGTAAGATTTTTCAACCTGATATTTTTGGATATTCTTTCCAAGGTAAGATGATTAGTCCTAAACTGATTGAGTTGCAGCATTTACAATATTTGGACCTTACATTGATTGATTTCAATGGGATCCAAATTCCAGATTTCATTGGTTCTCTAACCAATCTAAGGTACCTCAATCTCAGTTTCTGTCAAATGGTTGGTCAAATTCCAAGTTCGTTTCGAAACCTCACGCAATTGCAACATCTTGACCTTGCCTATAATTGGCGGCTTCAAGCAGAAAATCTCAATTGGCTCCCTGCTCTTTCTTCTTTAACGTATTTGGACCTTTCATTGATTAATTTCAATGGGAGCCAAATTCCAGATTTCATTGGTTCTCTAACCAATCTAAGAAACCTCAGTCTCAGTTACTGTAATTTGGTTGGTCAAATTCCAAGTTCTTTTGGAAACCTCACGCAATTGCAAAATCTCGACCTCAGCTATAATTAGCTTCAACCAGAAAATCTCAATTGGCTCCCTGCTCTTTCTTCTTTAACGGATTTGGACCTAAGCAGAAACTTCAATGGGAGCCAAATTCCTAATTTCATTGGTTCTCTAACCAATCTAAGAAACCTCCGTCTCAGTTCCTGTCATTTCATTGGTCCAATTCCAAGTTCGTTTGGAAACCTCATGCAATTGCAAAATCTTCACCTCAGCTATAATCAGCTTCAACCAGAAAATCTCAATTGCCTCCCTGCTCTGTCTTCTTTAACGGATTTGGACCTAAGCGGAAACTTCAATGGGAGCCAAATTCCCGATTTCATTGGTTCTCTAACCAATCTAAGAAACCTCCGTCTCAGTTCCTGTAATTTGGTTGGTCAAATTCCAAGTTCGTTTGGAAACCTCACGCAATTGCAACATCTCGACCTCAGCTATAATCAGCTTCAACTAGAAAATCTCAATTGGCTCCCTGCTCTTTCTTCTTTAACGGATTTGGACCTAAGCAGAAACAATCTCAGTCTTCCTCCTCCTCCTACTCCAATTCTTTCCACTACTCTTTACAAAACAAATTCTTCTACATCTCTTGCGTATGTTTATCTCTCTGACAACCATCTCACTTCTTCAATATTTCTTTGGTTGTCCAACTACAGTCTTGCTACTCTTGAACTCTCCAACAATAATCTATCTGGTTTCATTCCCGATTTCCTTGGAAACATGAGCTCTCTTGAGTATCTGGGTCTCTCTGATAACCAGATTGAAGGAGCGAATCCAAATTCGTTTGCAAGGCTGTGTAATTTGTGAACATTATGGCTTCAAAGAAATCATCTGAGTGGACAATTATCTCAACTATTGCCTAGATGTGCTCAAAACTCATTAGAGGAATTGGACCTCTCTGAGAATGTTCTTGTGGGGTCATTAAACAATCTTACAAGCTTCTCATCTTTGAAATTCTTGAATCTTAGTGCCAATCAATTAAGCGGAAAAATACCTGAAAGTATTGGGCAAATGTCGCAACTATGGGACATCAATTTCAGCATGAACTCTTTGGAAGGGGTGGTTTCAGAAACTCATTTCTCAAAACTCTCCAAATTAAAATCTTTGGATTTATCCTCTAACTCACTAGTTTTAAATTTCCATTCTGATTGGGTTCCTCCCTTAAAGTTATATTACATAGTTTTGGGGTCTTGCAAGATGGGTCCACATTTCCCAAAATGGCTTCAAACTCAAAAAGATTCTTCCAAGCTGGATATTTCAAATGCTGGAATTTATAATATCCTTCCAAGTTGGTTTTGGAGTAATTTTTGTAACACGAGCGTTATTAATCTCTCACAGAACCTAATTAGAGGAATATTTACAAATTTGACAGTGGAGTTTCCATATAACCCAAAACTACATTTGAGTTCAAACCAAATAGAAGGTCCAATTCCCTCAACTCTATTACAAGCCTCCTATCTGGATCTTTCTAATAATAACATTTCAGGGTCGCTTTCTTTCCTATGCGCAAGTGCATATATGAGTTTAACATATCTTAATCTTTCAAGCAACAGTTTTGCTGGAGAACTTCCAGATTGTTGGAGCCATTTGGAGATTCTAGTCATGCTTGATTTGAGTAACAACGCTTTTTCTGGAAAAATTCCCATGACAATAGGCTCTTTATTTCTAATGAAAACTTTGAAATTAAGAAGAAACCAATTTGTTGAAGAATTGCCTTCATCGTTGAAGAACTGCGCAAGTTTAGAAGTTATTGATCTGGGAGATAATAAATTATCAGGACCAATACCTACATGGTTAGGTGTGAGCTTCAAGAATTTGGTTATCCTGATGCTTTCCACTAATCACTTCAATGGAAGCATGCCCTCGCAATTATGCCATCTAACACACATTAAAAATATGGATTTCTCTATGAACAACATCTCTGGAAGCATACCCAAATGCCTCAACAATTTGACTACTCTGGCTCAAAAAGGAAATCCAAGTCTATCCAGCACACATATTTATGGCAGAAGTATGGGTAATGAGTCAATTAATTATGACGATGATGCAAGCTTCATATGGAAAGGAAGAATGTAGACATACAAAAGCACTTTGGGCCTTGTGAAGAGAATTGATCTCTCAAGTAATAGATTAACAGGGGAGATTCCAAGTGAAATCACTCGTCTTGTTGGGTTGATTTCTTTAAACCTTTCGAGAAACCAGTTAACAGGTCAAATAACTCAGGAGATCGGAAACTTGGAGTCATTGGATTCGCTTGATTTATCAAGAAACCAGATAGATGGAACAATTCCGACAAGCCTTGTTCGGATAGATCGTCTTAGTTTCTTGGACTTGTCATATAACAACTTGTCTGGCAAAATACCCACTGGCATTCAGCTCCAAAAGCTTTGATCCCCTTGATTGTGCTGAAAATCCTCTACTATGTGGACCTCCACTTAAAAAGATGTGTGCTGATCAAAATGAGACAACTGACTGGAGCAATGAAGAGGATATGGATGAGTTTATAACACTGGGATTTTACATCAGTATGGGGATTGGGTTTGCTGCTGGATTTTGGGGAGTTTGCGGCACTTTAATATTCAAAAGGTCATGGAGATAAGCATACTTCAAGTTCTTGAATGATTTAAATGATTGGCTTTATGTGAGGATAGCTTTGATCAAGCGGCAACTAAAGTTAGCGTATGCTTAATAGATAAGCTCGTGACGGTACTCTCTCTCTCATCATTAATTTCATTTTATAATTATTTTCTTATTGCATTTTTCTTTTCTCCAAACTGACGAGTATTAATTTGTTTACTTTGATATTTAGTTGCAGCATCTAAATTAGGAGAAAAGTAGCGGTAGCTGAATGCCTCCTTTCATTTCAAGTGTTGAAGATTGCTAGTATGCGCATGCACAGGTATCTGAAGAAGAGTTTACGAGTTAATTTGGAGTGCTTAGTAGGAATAAATATGAGTTAAATAAGTGTTAATTACTTGTAAGAACAATTAATTCGGAGTTCTCCGATTAATGTTTTTTTTTTTGTTGTTGAGAGAAATAAACAGATCCATTTTAATCCAAGCTCACTCCGATTAATGTATTAGTTCCAGCTATAGTGTTATTTTAATTAACTAAGCCAAAGCCAAAGCGGACTTGATTTCAAATTACAATGTGTGGCTCTGTTTTGGTCATCTATTTGCAACGTACAGCTTCTCCTTGTAAATTGGGGGTCAGCTTCTCCTTGTAATGTGTGGCTCTGTTTTGGTCATTCTTTCCTTTCATAATTCAACATCTTGTTCTGGGCACATGGTAGAAGATGCCTTTTTGTAAACAGACTTTTTGTATTTGGTCGGGCTTGCAATGCTCTATTTTGTGGGTTTTAAGATTGTATTAAGCTTACTTGTGAGCTGCAAAATGCCTTGTACCAAAGTTTATGTATAAAATGTGTGCTAAATCTTGTGTGTGGGGTACAAGATTGAAGGTCTTCCTGGAAAAGCAATCACAAGCATTTTCTCTCTTTTCAATTGTAGAAATGTTCAAGTTCTTGCCAATTACTTTCAGATATATAGTGTTGTGTAGCATAAAGGCTTCAACATATGCAATTCCATCAAGGCCTGCAGGCTGTTGTGTAGATTTAGCTCCACCAAAATGGATTAAGCTGCATCCTCAACTTGTGATACTCGCAAGTGCACGAACCGTTGGTAGTATAGCATATGTAAGTGCGAGGTCGATTCCACAGGGATTGGTGATTGAATGATCCAATTTAGTTTCCCTACACAAAATAGAAACAAAAACAAAGAACATAAAACAAGGAAGAAAGAAATAAGTAACTCAAGCAAATAAGTTCCCAAGTTCAATTTAGATTAATGGATTGATTCTAGCTAAAGTATGATTAAGCCATGGTGTGTGGTCATAACCTTGTGTTCCTAATTCCCTAATTTGATCATTTGTTGTCTAACCTAAAATTAAGCATTAGGAACCCATTAAGCATAGAAGAACATTTTAAACAACCAAGTATGTATCTAATCCCTGTTGTCGAATGTCCATACATACTCTTCTTATTCATAGTTCAATTCGAATTAAAGCATGGTGTATACTCTTAATTCAAACCAAGATAGCTAACATGCAAGCCTAAATGGTGATCAATCATTCAAAATAGCATATTAACTTATAAGCATAATGAATAAGAACATGAACCATAATTGAAACTTGGAAACTAATCAAACTTGAAAAACTAAAGAAAAAAATTTACATAATGAAAAGTAAAGTGGAACTAAGAAAAACTTAAAGGAGAATTTCAGCACAAAGATTTCATTACAACAATTGAAAACTAGAAAATGAAACTAAGAGAACTTGAGGAAGAGAAGGGAAGGGAGCTCTAGAGAAGTGTTTGAGAGCTCACCCCCTTGGGGTGTGTTTACAAGCTTGGGAAACCTCACTATACATAGGCCTAAGGAAGTTGAAAATCTGAATTATACAATTGAATTATCTAAACACACTAACTTCACCTAACACACTACACTTAATTCACCAACTTAACCTAACACACAATTGCATTTGAAAACAATTCCTCTTGTCTTTAGGCTTAGTGTTCAGCTCCCACTTCATCATCTTTTGGCTGCTGCAAAATTCCACTCAAAA